TATAAGGAGATTGAATTCAATACACAATTCCAGTTGAACAAAAAAAACTTAATACAGAATTAGACAATTTAAAATGTAACAATTATCAATTATGGAAAGTTAGAGACAATGGATTGTATATGAAAGTATTAGTGAAATAAGATGTTATTTCAGATTCTAAGACTGATAGTAAGAAAAAGAAGGGAAATAAAGGAGGGAAGGGTGTCAAAAGATGTGAGTATTAACATGTTAATAAAGCATGCTATTTGACAAGAATTTTTATTAGTCTGAAGTCAAAACTTTATCATCCCTGCCTTTCATAACTATATTTGACTTACATTATATGAAATACACTTTTAAAAGGAACAGGAAATAAACATATTAAGAGTAGCATTGGATCAATGTGTCTTGTCTTTATCTTTCAGTAACCAAAAGAAAAAGAGTTGTAGAGAAAGTAAAAGGACCACCAAAAAAGAAAGGTAATGGTTGTTATCCTGTACAAAAAAAATTATAATACTTTTCTCTTGAATTTGATCAATCTGATAGACAGGATAATTGTAAACCTAAAAATAAAATATGGTTGTTTCTTTCTTCTGTTTTTCTAACGTAGTGAGTTATGATCAGTCTCAAACATTGTGTATTTTATTTCAGTGCGTAAAACATATTATGATGAAAGAGATTTTATAGCACTAGGTCTGATGACCAAAGAAAGAGTTGTGTGGACTTCTAAAGAAGATGGAATTGTAAGTTATATTTTGATATATTGTTTGTTTTATGTTTGTTATTTTGTCTAGGCAGGGAATGTATTATTTGGGTGTCGGGAGACCTTTTCCAGATTTACTGGTGGATAACAAGGGATGCGCGTTATATTCACAATTATATGGTTTGAGTTTTGTAATGTGTTATTGGCTGTATAGATTGATTAAGTTGATATATGTTATCAGACACTTGCAGTTACATTTTTACTGGTGGTTAAAAGGGATGCGCGTTATAGCTACAATTATATGGTATGTGTTTTGTTAAGTTGATGATTTTTATCAGGCACTTTCAGTTACATTGTAAATGACACAGAATGACTATTTTCTAGTTTCCTGATGTATGAATTTTTTGTAGTTATTACTTTGTAAAGTGGCCAGTTATTTGATGGGTGGTGACAGGAAAGGGTTAATAGTACCATGGACAGTGGTCAGAGATATACTTCATGAAAAATCAAAGGAGGTAAGTTACAGAAGAATGCATTTTAAACCTACAAAAGTTTTATAATTTCACAGAAAGTGACAGTATTTTGCTAAGGAATAAGTAAGAGATGTCTTCAGCTGTACATGATCTGTCCACTTGAAAAATTGCATAACTGTAAAATTATATCACAATTGTCCAAAATTTATTAATATATATATAAGTAATATATATTTCATAAATCGTGTATTTAAAACAATTTTCACCTGAAAAGTGAAATTAAAACTGGCCACCTTGTACATATTTAAACTCTTAAAAACAAGCAGCTACTCTAATTGCCACATAATGGCATGATAAATATCCCCGGTAGAGAGTCTGTTGACATGTCAACATTAATGTCATACACTTGGAGTCATTTTACTTGGAGTATGGGGTATATGACATTTTTTTTAACCCAGTGTATAAAAGGTTAATTCTATTTAATTCTATTATAGACATCGTATGATAAGAGTTCTAAAGCCTGTCAAAGAAGAGTAGCGTTTGCTATGAAAAATCCTGTCTCAAAAATGAATGTTTCATTGTTTTTATCACAGACTAAACAAGACAAGGTAAATATTTATCAGGAAACTCAAAAAATTGTCAGCATCTTCCTTGTTGTTGACATTGAACGTTACTGAGAACTGGGCATTGTATTATGTCTCATTTATCCAATAAGATGTGGGAGCCGCAGTGGCTCAGTGAGTTAGACGCTTGCTCACTAACATGAAGGTCCAGCGTTCAATCCTGGCATAGGTCGAGATAATACCTTCGGATTTTTCAACTCGGTTTCCCCCTGTCAGTGATGCAGGTACGAGGGGCTGACATGGAAAAAACGTCTAGTCGTTCGGATGGGACAATAAACCGAGGCCCCATGTGCTACAGGCTGTGCACGTTAAAGATCCCTCAACAGTTGGAAATCGGAAAAGAGCAGGTTAATGCCGCTGTCCTGGCAAAATTTCCCTCATTGCACCCTGCATGGCGTTGCCCACATGGTGCAGAAAAGTAAGACGTAAAACTCCATTCATTTCATTTCATTTCCAATAAGATGTGCTACACCTGAAGGTAGTTTCCAGTTGATTTAGGCTTATTTTAGGTTTTCCTGTCTCGTTGATTTATATAAGGATTTTAAATGCAGGTGAACATGATAGTCTCTTCAGACTGTAACTAAAAATGTATTCATCAACTGTCCATTAGTTCAAAAACATTGGCTCTTTATGAAATTTGAAAATTCTTATTATAGCAGTAGCAATATTAACCTTCATAATTTCTGGATATATTTATTATGATTATTTCAGGAGATTATGAAGAAGTATGGAATTGATAAGTCTCATCTGTCAGAAAACACACTAGTTCCACTGTTTAAAAATCTGGTTTTTGATTTGATTGAAAAATTCAAGTAAGCTTGTTTTATTACAGTTACTGCCCTTGAATAATGATAATTTTTTTTTTTTTTTTCTTGAAGTTATATCATAATATGAAATATATAATCTAGCCTTGAGCTAGAAACAATTATTGGTACCAGTTGATTTGGCAATATGTCGTTCCAAAAAAAAAGACTGACAAAAAATATTCAAGAAATATCAAAGCCAAGAGGTTTGCCTATTGAACAGGATCTTGAAGAAGTTTTTTTTTTGTAAAACAATGCTTTTTTTCCCCTACTTTTGTTTATTATCTGGGACTTGTGCTTACATGTATGTCAACTTATCTAGTTTATGAATTTTGTCCAGTGTTCTTTGAAAAACTTTTTGAACCATAACAATGTATATCTTAATCTTCTGTATTAAATTCTAGAGCCCACGAAGATTCTGATGTAACTGAATTCCCCTCCACTGTGGAAGATCTAAATACGAAATATGACTTGACAAAAATAACAAGTGAAGACAACTGGCACGATGATGAAGTCACAGATATCCAGTCTGATAAAGATATATGTTTTAATGTACTATATGATTTGATACATGTAAGTACTGGATCTTTTTTGTTTTTGGTTCTACTTAGAGATTTATTGTTCAAGTGAATATGGTTAGGCCATACAAAATAAATAGTCTGTTTTACAGCCCCAAAAGTGCCTTAATATTAAATGTACATTAGATTTGTGGAAATAAATAATAAATGCTTCGGTCGCTCCAATTTATTCCAGTTGAAAATCTAAAAAAGTGGTTATAAATAATGAATATTAAATTCGCCCTCTCACACTGATTTTTGAAAAAAAGGCCTGTAAAACAGACTATTTATTTTGTATGGCCTTAATGATAGTACCATCAGATTTTCAACATCAGTGGTGAGATTTGGTGCTTAAATGAAACAAAATTATGTGTTGCGTCCTACTTTTCTGCACCTGATGGAACAGTCACATTAGCCTTCTCTTTTTCAATTTCCAACTATCAAGGGATCCTTAACATGCACAGCATGTAGCACTGACAAGGAAAATAGAAGCAGGTTAGAGCTGCAAAAGTTGTCTGAAAAATATCACTCATTGTCCACTGTATGGTGTTGTATATCTTCATCAGCACCATTAAAATCCCAATATTTGTCTGCATCCACTATTTATGAGTTATTTGAAGTCTATTTTTTCTTTACTTTCTAGAGTTGTTTCCCATCTAACATATTATCTTTCAATTCTGAACAATTAACACTATTATAGATAAATTAGATAGATTAAATTCTATCAGCTGATAAACTGAAAACTCAGACCACGGTATCATATTAATTTTATATATTGTTTATTTTAGAGTTTTGTGGTAACATCTAAAGATAAACAAGGTAGAAGTCATGAAATGTATCGTATCTTCAATCAGTATCCTGATTTTTTATTAACAGAAGTTTTTACCAGGATGAAAGATGATGGTATTATTACTAAAATAAAGGTAACAATAGAACTTTCTCAATATCAGGGATTTAAGTCTGAAAACTTTGGTAAGAGTTATTTATAAATCATGAGCAGTGAGAGAAGAGCTGTTAATTTTGTTATATTGACATTAGCTATTATTTTGTCCATTGGACTGATGGGAATTCATGTGGCGTTTATATCACCATAAAGTAGGAGTAGTAATTTTAATCAATGATGTTGTTATTCATTGACGTCATTGTATGAAATACACGATCTCCAATGTAAACAATCATGTCGGTTGTCCCAAACGTAAAGAAATATGCCCTACTTAAATTCAGACTGAAGTCTTTGTATCAAAATTAGAACATCTTGAATACGTGAATATAAGTTAAGACGCACCAGACATGACTGACAGACCACCTCAAATGGCCTTTTTTTGACAAGGATCTGTCATCAATTATAGGTTGAACAAAAAGTTCAGCTTCAGTGCTGATTTTCAGTGGTTGGTTAAATTTTCAACATTTTGGTGTATGAACAAAGTAATCCAACTCACTGAATTTTTTCAGAAAGTAGTCAATCCGTTGATGTATGGAGTGAATCACCATCAACTTGCTCAAAGGTAAATATTTAACTTAACTTATTTAAGAAGAATAGGCTCAGGAGAGGGTAGCTGAGGTTAGCAATGTTCATATACCCTAGAGCAGTCGGAACATTTTTTCTTGTCCCTTACCCTACCTCAACACAGCCCCTTGAGAAACTCTGCCCTACCTCAACACAGCCCTTTGAGAAACCCTACCCTAGCTCAACACAGCCCTTTGAGAAACCATACCCTAGCTCAACACAGCCCTTTGAGAAACCCTACCCTAGCTTAACACAGCCCTGTGAGAAACCCTACCTTACCTCAACACAGTCCTGTGAGAAACCCTACCCTAGCTCAACACAGCCCTTTGAGAAACCCTTACCTCAACACAGCCCTGTAAGAAACCCTACCTTACCTCAACACAGCCCTGTAGGAAACCCTACCCTAGCTCAACACAGCCCTTTGAGAAACCCTACCCTAGCTCAACACAGCCCTTTGAGAAACTCTACCCTAGCTCAACACAGCCCTTTGAGAAACCCTACCTTAGCACAACACAGCCCTGTGAGAAACCCTACCCTAACCCAAACTCAGCCCTTTGAGAAACTCTACCCTAGCTCAACACAGCCCTTTGAGAAACCCTACCCTAGCTCAACACAGCCCTTAGAGAAACCATACCCTAGCTCAACACAGCCCTCTGAGAAACCCTACCTTTCCTCAACACAGCCCTGTGAGAAACCCTACCTTAGCTCAACACAGCCCTTTGAGAAACCCTGCCCTAGCTCAACACAGCCCTTTGAGAAACCCTACCCTAGCTCAACACAGCCCTTTGAGAAGCCCTACCCTAGCTCAACACAGCCCTCTGAGAAACCATACCCTAGCTCAACACAGCCCTTTGAGAAACCATACCCTAGCTCAACACAGCCCTGTGAGAAACCCTACCCTAGCTCAACACAGCCCTGTGAGAAACCCTAGTCTACCTCAACACAGCCCTTTGAGAAACCCTACCCTACCTCAACACAGCCCTGTGAGAAACCCTACCCTACCTCAACACAGCCCTGTGAGAAACCCTACCCTAGCTCAACACAGCCCTGTGAGAAACCCTACCCTACCTCAACACAGCCCTGTGAGAAACCCTACCCTAGCTCAACACAGCCCTGTGAGAAACCCTTCCCCACAGTGATTAAAAAGACTTTCTCAAAGCATTTTGCTTTTAACTCAGTTAATGGCTCTTTAAGTAAGTAACAGGTGTCTGTGGTGTTACTTAATGTCATTAAAGCTCTCTCAATTTACATCTACCTATTTTCATCTCTGCTTTTGCTTTTATGTCAAAACTATTACCATCCAACTTATTCTATAACTTGCACCAAAATAAGTAGATATCAACTTGACATCTGTTTATGAGAGTCCACATGGCTATTAGTATATTTATATGATATCTAATGTTTGTTTAGTTTGTATTTAATGTAGCAGTGCATTGCATTATTTTTCAGGTATAAATTTCGGTTTTTGAATCGTTTTCCTGACAATATGTTTAATGAATGTAATGAGTTTCTAGAGAGATTGTGGCAGAAGTATGTAGAGTCTGATGGTCTAGAAGGAATTGATGTTAAGATTATAGATGGTGGAGGAACCTGTGCTGCTATTTTATCATTGTCTAGTTTACAGAAGGTAAGAATGGAGGACAAACCTTACTCACTGTTTCCCACAAACCTGTTCAGAAATTACGATGTTTTATTTTTCAATTTGATTTGATTTGATTGCAAATCTTGATGTTTCGTTTTTTGTTATTTCTGGTTGCTATCACTTGTCAATCATGATCTACATATTCAACCAATCAAAGACTCTCAAAAGATGTTCACACTATATTCTGGAAAGGTTTTTGTGATATTCATTAAGAAAACATTGACTTGTTTTGTCACTCTACTTTTAACAGTGTTTTTGATTGCTTAGCATTTATTCTGACAAATTTTGATAATAAAAATCCTACCAAATATTTTTGAATAAAGAATATTATTTGATCCTGTATGGCATGTGGATTCACACAAAAAATAAAAAATATTTCATAACATGAAACATCTCGATCAACAATTTTAATTAGATCCTTTATTTTGAAATTGTTGGTGCTAAAGGCACATTTATTGTTGCTTAATTCATCAGTATCTGATATAACAAAAATATTGACCTTGAATGATTCTAAGTAAGTCTCCCTTTACTCTTCAACAATCTATACTGACACATAGCATACTTTTGTCTCTGTGAAATAACTAGTGTTATATTCTGACCTCTCTAAGGACTTGTTGTCAGAAACACTGTACCTTTATAATAGGTAATCTTCAATATTAGATCCTCTGATATGAAAGGTTTAAATATGAATGAATATGAAAATCTTGAGTTTCAAACTGTGTTCATCAAGTCCTTGTATTAGCTAATTCACGTGTATCAGAATTATATATTGCTCAATTTCTTGAAAATCAAAATATCATTGTCTTCTTGACAAAAAAAGAGGTTTTCTAAACTTTTTTTTTTAATTTTTTTTTTGCACAATTCTAATTTTTAGTGTTTATGACATATCTGCCCCGGAGGCCCGTAGTTATTATTAGCAGCTTTTGCAATAGTGAGTCATAATAAACTTAGTTTTAGTGGATCTAAGAACTACAGACTACAAATTTGAAAAAAAATTGGAATGGTGCAAATTGTTCCTATCAATATCCCTGATACTTATAAAAAATTTAGAAAACTGCCTTTACAATCCCTTACAATTCTGATAGGTATTTGTGAAGTTAAAGATGCCAAAAGAGATACTAGTACTAGATAGAGCAGGATGTAGTCTTCCAGTCAGTCGTGGTAGAATACAGAAAGCACTGACCGAGACTGATGATGAAGATGATGATGATGACGATGATGATTTGTTGGACACGGCCGAGTCACGGAAACTGACTAAAGGGAAGAAATTGAAAGCCAAGAAAAAAGAAGAAAATTTAGTACAACATATTATTGATATAGGTCATGCTGAGGATACAGATCATAGTGAAGATGATACCGAAGGTCAAAGGTCAAATGATCAGCAGGAAGGGTAAGGAGAACTACCTCATTGATTGTTGACTTCTAATATCTTGGAAAATTTTTGTGCATGTATTACTTCCTTCTGTTTTGATCCTTGTTCTTGTATAAGCAAAGCCAAGTTTCTCAAAATCTTGCTGCTATTGCACAAATAGATTGACCATCAGAGTTATTTTTCAGTCTTTGTTTTTGATTTGTAATTTTTTAACAGTGCAGAAATTGACTTTTTGACGTTAAAGTGTGCTTAAAAACATGGTTTCATTGCAGTAGTATTGGCACTGAAGAAATAGGAGAGTCTTCGAATACACAAACCAACGAAGTTGAACCTTCTGTTTCCATAATATCAGATGATATTGCACCAACCATGACAGATGTAGAATTTGAATTCAGGAAAAAAGTAGAAATGCCCGTCACGGACAAACAATTACCGAAAAGTCTTTCCAGAGCTCTGCTGGCTTTGGCACGCAACCAATCATTTCAGAAAATGCCAGATAAAAACTTTAATGTACAGGACAATATATTAATTCAGACATGTGACATTGAAGCCTTCTTGATGCCAACACCTCGACGATCTGGCAACAGTTCTTTTACAACCTCATCAGGCAACACAGCAATAAGCAGTCTCTTTCTAAGCCCAGAGACATTTCGTGAAATTTTGAAAAAGCAGCAGAAGTTGTATCCATTTGAATTGAACATAGATGAACAATGGGAACAGTTCAGTGAAAACTATGATGAAAGCTATGTGGAAGATTTAAAGTATATTTATGACTTTGTTCATACTCATGGTGTTTTAGGTGTTCCGCTGTTTGACCTGCAGGTAAGATTTATTATTATAGCACTATATACTTTTTATTTGGTTGGTAATTGAATTCTACTAATTCACCACACTTTCTAGTTACAAGCTACAAAGTGTTAATTCTACCTGCGTAAAAACAAAGATGGTGTCCGAGGGATCATGGGGCCCCTAAAAAATGTTGGATGAAAGTTTAGTTTGAATCATTTTTATGCAATAATGGTTGTTAAAATGAGGTCAAACTTGATTTGAGTTTCTACATATAGATTTGGTCAACTAACTTGATTACAATTTTTTGGGTTGTGCTATTGCAGACAGTTCCTTTTAAACTTAATCTAATTCTAAAATTGAGTTCATCACTTGATGAAATTTATAGATTAAGGCAATCATATTACCTATTTGACTGATATAAATTTTGATATATGATATTTCCCATAAGAATTAATAATAACCATAATTATTATTTATGCCTGTTATGAAATACTGTAATTATCAAAGATGGAAAAATAAATCAGTCTATCATTTCACAATTTATTATCACATTTTAGATCTTTATATCAAATTTTGTAATTTTAATGATTCTAGATTTTTGAGTATTCACATTTTCATTTCCCAAAAGAGTAAAGTTTACTGGTAATAATTTTCTACAAGTTATAATTCATAAGAAGAGGCTTTTAATCGACGATATTGACTAATTTATTGGACGTGTTTGTAAATGTTTACAACTAGGCCGGAAGAATAAAAATAAAAAAACGAAAGGTTATTAGTGAAATTTGTTTGTTTTTGACCAAGTTTTTAGCAAATGAAGTTTATAAAATGTTAATCAATATGACATAAAATTGATTATGGAAAATCCAAAATGATTTCACAATAGTTATACAAAACCATAGATTTGTGCTCAATAGGAAAAAAAATTCACACATTCACTTTTACTTTCACAAATACTGGAACATCAGAGACTGAGAAAAGATTGTTTATTAGAAGAATTATTTTGAAGCTAAGATAATGAAAATGTTAATAAAAAGATAATGTGATGTTGTTGGTATCATGATGTTATTTTATTGTATTGTTGTACACAGATTATCACTTTCTGCATGTTTCTTTAGCACCAGTAGTATTTTTGGTAAAGGAACATACACGATCAGAAATATATTATTGGTTAATTAACAGGCCACACTTTATGTAACTTGATTGTTTGTGTAACTTAATTTATGTAACTCTTGGATTTAAAGGGACAGGTGCGCCATTTTTGGGGGTTGATTTGAGTGTTGAATGTATGTAATAGTCTTCAGAAGTACCAGAATTGTAAGAAAATCGCAAAATTCCTTTAAAATACTTCTAACTAGGAATTTTAGTCACTTTTTTTATATATGTCTTTCTTCTCTATAGATCACAGAGTATCATGAGCCGTCATTTTAACATTCAAAAGCGGGTAATTCTGGACACCCATGGATTTGAAGGCTCAAATTTCAATGGTGAGCTGTGAATACTATTACTGATTGGCTTAGCTAAACCATTCAGTTTCTGAGACTTTAGTATGATTGGTCAAAAATAATGGTGCATCTGTCCCTTTAAGGTGGAAAAAATGCCTTTTCAGCCCCATGTGCTGTAGACTGCATGTTAAAGATCTCTTGACAATTTTTCTCATTGCACACTGCATCATGTTGTCACTCAGTCTTCTCTTAAAGCCTTAAAAGTATGTCGAAAATAGCGTTTATTTCTGATTTTAGATCAGGCAATATTATTGAGAAAACATCATTGTAATTTCATTATCAACAAGGGCTTCGTTCATTAACAGATATCATTATGTTGAAAATGAATGAAAAGAAGTTTAATGGGCTATTAATAATGGACTTTAGACCAGGCTAATTAATTTTCTTAATTAACTAATCCCATAGTGATGATAATCTGACGGTAAATTCTAAAAATAGCAGTGTTATAGGAGGTTATAGGATTCATAAGGTCTGACAATATGTTATTATTGAGTCTCTTGGCTTGCTGTATACAGTCTATTTTCAAATTCAGAAGGATGGTTTGTCTGTTAAATACAAATACAGAAAGTGATGTTTAATTCTCTTACCATGAAAACATGTAGGATTTACAATGTTTATAGCTGTGATAAATAAAAATGACTATTTTGATGAAAAAATTTAAAACATATTTTGAATTGATTAAAATGTTATTAACAATGTTATACAATATTCTTTGTAAGACATATAGAAGTAGGAAGGCAAACATAAATAACACAAGATATATGGATATACTACTTCTGAGTTTATTACATACTAATAGTATTAATAGTATTAACAATGTAAGACAATGCATAGACTTTGATTATCTCCCTATCTGTTGTCCAATCAAAACTCAAACTGATGATGATTATTTACTTTGAAAATTAAAAAAAAAAATTAAAACAAACTACTTTTTGAATTAAAAAATTCAGTTTTCCCCCACCCCCACGTGTACAACTATCTTGGAGCCACTGTTTATTAGGTGTATTTCATAAAAATAGAATTAGAGGTTTATAATGTTTAAGAGCTTAAGGATTAATAAAGGAAATGATAGGTCCTAATTAACATTGCCTGATTAATTAGACTACAGGGAAGGGGGATAATCTGCTTTAGTCTGAAATTTATGTTTTGAAATAAAAGAGTAAATCTGAATTATATCTAAATGATATTATCAACATGAATGTCAAGTCTACATGGTTCTTGGACATTAAAGGGAATGTTAAGAGGTTTTTCTGATTTTTTTTTATTTGGGACCCTGATTTGCTCTATTCCAAATTTCAGAGTTTTTGTAATTCCACTAAATATAAACCTTAGCATTCATAACATACCTATCTTATGGTTTGAATTACATTTCATTAAACTAAACGCTTGATGACAGAATGTTATACCTGTGTGAATACCTAAAAGGGGTGTACAAAGGTATTCTATGTGTACTGTGGACACTAAAAAAACATCAACATACACCACTATTTCACATAATAATAGTTCCAGTTCTGTATGTTTAAATTAAATCAGACTATCTCTTTAAATCTTTGTTTTCTGTTAAGTATCGTGTATATGATAAAATATGATATTTAAGAATATAAAATATAAAATTCGATGTTGTCGGGTCTCTGTAATCTCTGTAAAAGCTTTCTAAAAGCTTTATGGACTGAGAGTATGTTTTTTTTCCTTCCAAGATAATAGGAATTATTAAAGAACTAATTTTGAGATAAAAGATTACTTGCAAAGCTCTTAGATGTGGCGCCAAAATTTTTTTATTCAAATTATCCAATGATTATGATTATATTAAAGGAATTAAAAGTGTATTTTGTATTGAAACATTATTTTTGTCTTTGTTCACTTGTCTGATTTTTCAATGTAAAAAGTTAAGTTCAGTAAAAGAATGGCATGAAATAATGCGTGGCTTTTAAGTACAATTTGTCAATGAAGATGCTGTTAGATCAATCATTAAGTTATTAGCCATCTGATAATATGTCCACAGTTGTGGCTAATTCTCAAATAGACGAGATACGATGTCTGTTGAGGTGTACAGTGTGGGATTGTCGAAACAGTAAATGAATACATAGAGTTTGCAACACCATTTTCTACTGCCATTTTTCTAATGTATGGATAATTCTGCACCAATCACTGCACCAGACACCGTATCTTGATTTGTTTATGTTCTCACCGTCAATACCGGTATGTGATATCATGGTTATCATCAACATGCCTTTCAGACATGACCAATGCTACAGTTATCTGATTTTGATCAAATATGAAATAGTGTTTCTGATAAATGACTTATAATAGTATATATATTTCTATTTCCCATGTTCATCTGTCTTTCATATTTTTGTAGCCTTTACAGCTAGACTGTGCTAGACATCAACATGTGCTCAGTGGACAGTTGAAATAGAGGAGACAGCTCAGTTTTGATGAAAAGTTCATTAGCTGCTACCAATGTTTCGCAAAAATATTATTTTGGATTTCCGGTTTCATTTTGCATTTTGGATTGTTAGTACTTAGTTAATTTATTGTTGCTAAATTCTGTATTTTGTTTCAGGAAAAGATGTCGAAAATGGTGAATTATAAGAATAAATTACAGACATTGGTAGAAGCGAATTCCGTGAGTAGAAATTTTATATTTATCCTTATATCACACACATGACCACCACAGCTTTATATACAGTCATCACTGTTATTATAAATGATATGTATACCATAGACACTAACTAAACACTTTATCATTTATAGAAACTAGCAGTTACATTTTGAAGGCTGAACTTCACATGAAATTTGCATTAATCCGTTTTTATGCAATCACTAAAAATATGTTTATGAAAAAATTTTGATATCAGCTTGAATACTTAAACTGTAGTCACTTCTACTGGTACATTTTAATATTATTGCCAATGAGACAGAAGTCAAATTCTTATTCTTAAAAGAGCTTTTGATATATTTTATTGAGTCCTTCAGTCGGTGAAGCAGATATAAGTCAACTATATATCGAAAGTACAAACACCATACATTGTGATATTGTCACATGTGGTATCTTAGATTAATCCCACATTAAATCATATAACATAGAATTTAACTTGGCAGAACTGTCATGAAGGTGACACTATAAGTAACAGATATACTAGTACTACACCAGCTGATACTGGACCTTAACAAATATGATAATAAACTAATTATTTTATATGGCTCAAAATTAGGTCTATGACACCAAAATGACATGACCCTGTCTAACATTCAGCCCATGGGGACAAACAGAGACTCTTTATTTTACATGGCTCAGAATTAGGTCCATTACACAAAAGTGACATGGTCCTGTGGGTACATACATATAAACATATTATAATAACGAAAAAAAATCAAAATAACTATAAAAACATGAGATCTGCACTGAAATTATTTACCACTGTGTATGATCTGATAATATCATCTGTAAAAAGAAGGTAACAACTTTAAAATCTGAGATAATAGACAGCTTATCATCTAGGACAATGTAGTAACCCAACAGAAACATTAGTACAGATCTGCTGTTTAAATTGGAATTATTTACCATGGTAGATCATCAGACAGTAAAAAGATGGTTTAAAGACATCTGTTAAGATATGATTATTAATAAATGACAGGAATATTTATTATGAAACATCTAAAAACCTGATAGTACTTCTAGTTGGAGGAGTCCGCTATTATAGAACTTTTATTTTCCATTTTGCCATACTTTGGACGAGATTTTGATTAACGGAATTGTCTTGCTTGTACAGATTTTTATTATGAAACCTATAATTCATACAAAATTCAGCCATGTGACACAGTTGTATATATGTATTGAAGAAGTAAGACGTATATAAAGAGTTATTATGTATAATTTAGTCTGTTTTCAATGACTGTATAATCAGAGATAAATAGACAGGATGTCTTCCTGTTTTGATACAAACCGTAATTATATCTGAGAGACAAAATATCATTTGAAATAAAAGTTTAATTATAGTTATAATATTAAAACTGAGACATGTAGATTAGATATTAAAGAGCATACTTTGTTTGTCTCATCTTACAAGGTTCATAAAGACAGATAGTCCAAAACATTTGCCTCTATTCCAGCCTCTGATAGATATTTTAATAGATATCAACTTGATATCAGTTGCTTTCAGTTTCGTTTAAAAAAAACTTTGATGGAACTGCAGGGAGATTATGATGGTAAGACTGAAGGATAAAGATATCCATCTTTGGGAATATATCTGGGTTTGGTGGATCCTTCAGAGGTGTGGAATATCCCCGCAAAACAGGGCCTAGTTTTTGTGTCTCTACACCAGCCGACAACTTTCAAAATAGCTATCAGAGGCTGGAATAAAGGCAGCTGTTTTAGTCTCTAAGACAAACTGTGCGGTTTCCAGTTGGAAATTAGAAAAGAGTGGGCTAATCTGTGATGTTCGTAAAGTAAATTAGGTTTATACCACTCATTTATATTGCGCAGATTTTCTATTGTCTACAATCTAAACATTCAATCATAAAAATCTTATCCTGGTAATTGTTTTGTTTTAAGTGGGTATAATATCAACTAATTTTGATTTCCAACTATTATGAAGACATTATTATCTGTACATTTAAATAATTGAAATGGAATTTGAACCATTTTATCTATTGCAGAGGATGGCAGTAATGAAAAATTCACAGACATGCAATTTCTTCATCCGATTATTTCTTTTCACAAACTTGATTACACATTTTTGAAATAGCTCAACTAACTCATTAAGATGCACGCAAATCATTTTATTTTCTAATTCAAAGTCTGGAAAAGCGATTGTTCTAGACTTAGCTGCGTGTTTTGGTGGCGTTTTTTTTTTTCACAGACTGATCTTGTTTTTAAAAAGGAAAGGTAAGTAAAATACACTTAATTGTATGGTATACTACTCCTGGGTTTTATAACACTCAATGTTTCGACAATCTAGATTGTCATAATCAGGTAATAATTTTCACCTTATGATGACATTGAAAACTTGCTCTCTCTGCAAGTATATCGTGGGTGACCGCTTGAAACCTCGTATATGCCATATTTGGTCATTTTGACTTTTTGGTACCGCTCGAAAGCTCGCAAAAGCGCTGATCTTGTGATCAAATCCTCGTATTCTTAGCTTGATTGTAAATAACTCAAAAAGCGCTTAATAAATAACACGTATTTAAACAGTCAGATTTAAAACCTCGTAAAATATATTATTATACGAGGTTCAATGTTCCTTTTCTGCAGATGAAAATGAAAAACCTCGTATACTGTATTATTATACGTTTTTGGTTCAATAGGCCGGAGTTATCGAATTGTTATAAGAGGTTTATATTTTCAAGAATGGAAACCATGTATAACGGTAAAAAAAATAATAAAAAGATTTTAACAAAATACGCGTACAAGTAGTTTTTTGCGTTTTTCGCGAAAAGTAATTCCGCGTCATATATCGTTATACGAGGTTTCAAGCGGTCATCCACGATATCTTGCTTTGTCATTCATTTCTATCTTCAATGATCCAGACTTGATTAGATCAGAGATTTGAAAGATTACTTGTTTCAAACAATGATAGATCATAACCTAATAAAATGAGTCTATGAAAATTCTTATCTAACTAATTTAATTGAAATGATATTTTCACTTCATTTAAACCTAGTGATGTAGAAATATTTTTAATGTTTTTATTTTCAAGTTGATTTGTTTGATTTCATGGTGAAGAGATATCTCTGATGTGATGTTTGTATTATATTATCTGGTTATTAACAGGTCTAGCCTATGACAGTTCACTGAAATCACTCTTGACACAGATATAATCTATAATCCTTTTTGCCATTTTCGTGGGCTGATTTGTGACTTGAATATGTAGTCTCCAGAACTACTGGAACTAAGAACTGTAGAAAAATCACATAACGCTTCAAATATACCTCAAACAAATCATTTTTACTCTAAAAAATGGATAATTTTGGATACACATGGCTGAGAAAGTTAAATTTCGACAGAGAGCTCTGAAGACTATAACCAATCAGATAAGCTGAACACTTCCAGTTTCTGAGACCAAGGTATGATTGACCACTGAAAGTGGCGAATCTTTCCCTTTAATGCTAAGTCCACGGCTAATTTTTTTTTTTTAATTTGACACCGACAGAGTTTTTTTTTGTCAATGGAGAAGTACTAGTAGAGGTTTTAGGGTTTATTTCAGTCAATAATGTCCCAAATTACCACAAATTAAAAAATGAATTTCTGAATGCTCTGAGGGACATTTTAGCTACCACAATAGATTTTTGACTATTTCAGACGAGAAGTCTCTTTTGAAATGTGACAACACTAAATGTTAAGACTTGTAGATCAGGTTGTGTCTATTTAAGGTAAAGTAATTATTTCAAGTGATGTTACTCTATAATTACTTATTAATAGATTTAATACCGTCTGATTCAATGTTAAAATTAGAATCTAAATTTATCAGAGGACATTTATAGATTGCAGTACAAATCAAATTCCAACATAAATGCTTCTGTTTCACAAGAATTCTATGACATTTGAAATATGTGAACTTCTATTATATTTGGAGCTGGGTGGTTCAACCAGTTTCATATGTCATCTAGACTAAGAATCCCAGGTGAAACTCATGCATTGGTCTAGATAATACTTTTTTTAACACTGTTGATCTATCATACGTTAGTGATGAGGGTTGAAGGGACTGATTGTCTAGCCTAGGCTAGAAATGTTAAGGACTTCTTGACAGTTCAAAATTAGGACAAGGCTATAGTCATGAAAACTTTTCTCTCATTGCATACTACATGATGTTGACCGTCTTGGTGATAAACTGATGCAGAAGAGTGTTGGAAAGGAAGTGAGGCTGAAAACCATTCTTCTAGGGGGTAATGAATGAATATTGATTGGTATTGGATTGTTTTTATCTGGGGAGATAGTGGTTTTGACAGATACATTTTTGTAATATTTTCCTACTTCTGATCTTCTAACAGGCTTAAAAATCAGTGTCAACTTTCAGTAACAAATCCCATCTTTCTGTCCCTTCTTACCAGTATTTTTATTGTGAAGAGCTCTTCTCTAATGGAGTTAACTTAAGTCTAATTGACAAGGTTGATACCAGATCTGAATTTCTTGCTGAATGACCAATATTGATTTTGATTGGAAGAAAATATATGAAATTACTTTAATTAGTACATCATAACAAAGTTTTGTAGAAAACTGCCCCTGATTGTCTGAATACAGAGTGTAAGAAACTTCAATTTCACCAGTTATTGGTAAAAAATGATTGTAGTATAACAAGCCTCCATTTATTTGAATTGATTTATAATGTATAGATTGCAGAAAAGTTCCATTTTCTCCAGTTATTGGTCCAAACGACTCTACTCTTACAGGCTTCAGTAGCTTGAATTGATCTAATCCTTTTGTGTAATATTAGTTTTCATTATTTTTTAAAAAAGGAAACAGAATCACTGTAAGATGTAATTGGTTTCCTAATTGACAATCAAACAGAGCAGTATCAACAGTTGTGATGGGTCTCATAAATGATTCTGTGTTGTACCGGCACTTCCGTTTTATTGTATCTCCAAATAACTTTTCATAATAAGATGTATTATATTCTTAAAACATTGTATTGAACATTCCCTTTGATCGTTTTGTTATATAAACTAGTGGGCGGCAGGTAGCTATGGTATAACCAGATAGCAGTTTAAACAATTCTTCATAATAAAATTTATTAGAAGATTGAAACAATAACAGCAGCTAAAGGGAAAGAAAGGCAGAAAGAATACAGTATCCAACTGTGAAAAGATAAAGGCCTTGGTTGATTAATTGTTTTACTCATTGACTTTTGCCCTTTAACAAGCTTAGAAATCAACATATTCAGTGCCGTTAATGAATACTGTCGTTTCGTGCTTCTTAACAGTATTTTTATTGTGAAGAACTCTCCTCAGATAGAATCAAATTAAGTCTAATTGACAGGACCGAAACAAAAACAAGTCTAATTCGATCGTCTTCATTTCTAATCAGGATTCAAGTCATTAAGAAAAACTTGCTTAGTTCAATGTCAGGTCAAAATTTGAATTTCTGGTTAAACATGGCACTCAGGAAAAGTACAAGATTTTATTTTTAGAATAAAACATATAACCATCAAGACTGTTATACAGATGTCAGT